CTTCCCTTCCACCTTAGGGAGACGTTACATTTCTTTCTTCTTCTTAACACTTGAAATTTGGAGGTCGTATACTTTAGTCCAATACGTCAAGGTACATCTTCTCCTTTTGTGCGTATTTAGTCTACTGCTCCGATTTTAGGGAGTCCACATAGTTCAGCCTGCAATTTCTTGATATTTCGACCGATTCAGATGAGACTTTGTACAAAAATACTTACGCCCCCCCCCCCCAGATTGATAGTTATAAAATTTGGGTCTTTCTTGCGACCTTAGATGGTTTAAAGGTTAAAGGTAAGACATTTCCTCAAAGTTAAGACCTTAAGCCTACCATTATTCTAATACTTCAACCAATCTAAATGAGACTTTAGATAACGATTCATCGCGACAGCCTTCACGAACTGAAATAGACAGAATCCGCACTTTCAGGTATAAAAATAACAGTCCACTCTGCTATTCAGTTAAGAGCAGTGTGTAGCTGGCATGTGCTGCTCACTGATTGTCGTTTCTTGTCTTTGACCCGGCCATTTATCAGTTGTGTTCCATAAGGTGTCGTTTAGTCTAAAAATACTAAACTTAAGAGTGATGGGAATTGGAATTAAAAGAGTTCGAACTGCATTAATTAGATGAGGTCGCTAGCAGAATGATAACTGTGAATTAATCAAAGAAGTTCCATTTTAAATCATTTGAAACAACAGAGATATACAAGACGCAGTGGCACATTCTATAAATTAGCGTGCTAGTTTTAATTACTAGCATTTTGTACACGAAATTAGTGGCGTGAATTGAAGCGACGTTTCAAAGCGAAATCTTACCTGAAGTAATCCAGTTTGTTTGTTTGTTTGAAGTTAAGCACAAAGCTACACAATTGGCTATCTGTAATGTGTTCACCACGGGTATAGAAACCCAGTTTCTAATATTATAAGTCCACAGATTTATCACTGTACCAGTGCCAGGACAGGTAATCTAGAATAAATCGGTTACGTGAAATTAAAGAGTTTAATGTTTGTTTTGTGGTAGCCGTCCCTAATTTAGCAGTGATAAATTAGAGGGAAGGCAGCTAGTAAACACCACCCACCGCCAACTATTGGGTTACTCTCGTTTACCAACGACCAGTGGGATTGACCTTCATATTATATTGCCCCCACGGCTGAAAGGGCGAGTATGTTTGGTGGGATGGGGATTCGAACGTGCGACCCTCAGATTGCAAATCGAGCGCCTTAACCACCAAGTCATGTTAGGCCCAATAAATGTGAAGCCCAAACTATCATTCAATGTATCACTTGTCGCTGAGTTATTCCGGTTTTATATTTATTTTTTTATCTTTATAAGCAGCTTGTCGGCTGAGTAATTCACAAGAATAAATTACTAGCATCAATCCTTCATATTCTTGAAATCCCCTATAAGCCCCCCCCCCCTAGTGTCACAGCGGTATGTCTGCGGACTAGAAACCGGGTTTCGATACCCGTGGTGGACAGAGCACAGATAGTCCATTGTGTAGCTTTGTCCTTAACTTCAAACAAACAATCCTATATAAATATGGGATCACTGTGGTGAGTAAAAGACATCTCAAAACACACTATACAGTGAGTAAAAGACATCTCAAAACACACTATACAGTGAGTAAAAGACATCTCAAAACACCATACAGTGAGTAAAGACATCTCAAACACCTTTTGAGATGTCTTTTACTCACTGTATCACTATACAGCTATAGGGGATGTTAAGCTTTTAAAATGCTCGCTTGTTGTGTAAAAGGATTTTCCCAACTTCCAATATTAAACTTCCTAATCCTATGAAGGAGTTAGAAGGTAGAATCACTTTTTCTCCTATACTTTTTGTACATCTCCACAAACTTCGCACCAAACACGTACAACGACGTTTTCTCTCTCAAAAGGTCGTATTTTCGGAAATCCTCGGCCAGGATGTTCATCCTCAGAGGAAATTCTTGCCATCATCTCTTAAACTTACTTGTTATATCACTTCCAGCTACTTTACCCATTCATATTTACTCAAATAATTGGAAGATTCTGTTTTTCTACCTTTTCCCGATTGTTCTGTCTGTCTGCGAAACACCAATAAACTTGATTTCCAAATCATAATATCATTCTCAAGCCTGTAATCATGAAATGATACACTTACAATATGTTATACCAG